ATCCTTTCATTCACGATGGTCAAGGGCTTTATTCTAAAATGTCCCCGTAGAACAAAGGTCGGAAGCAGCAGGTACAAAAGGGAGCCACAATGAAGAAGACCGCAATCATGGTTGGAGAGAGTATAGATGCATGTTAATCCTCCATCTTTCAGTATCCTTCACAATAGTCTTTGTTTAAATGTCGGAATCTGATTTGTTAATAAGGGATGGTGGGCTGAATGGAACTTTAATGCAAAGTAAAATGAATGGATATCGATATATCTTGTTTCCATGGAATTCACTGGGCCAAACTATAAATGGTTTTAAAGAAATCGTTTTCCAGATCTGTATTATTTTACCTCTTCATACTATTTTGAAATCATATTCAATGGTTGTTTTTATTGAGGCACATATGGACGAAATAGAAAGCTTGTATGGTGTCTTCGTAAATCAATTAGACCAAAGGAAGAAAAAATTAATCACGCTTAAAGAAATCCTGAGATACCGCATTTGTGAATATGTAACTACTCCTGGATTTGATTAGAAAGTGAATTCAAAAGATTTTGTAGGCATTTCGCAACAAATTTAACCCTTTTCTGTCTCGCTCCCGTCAAAATAACGGATGTATGTTTCGCCCTCAATTTCCGGTGCCCGTGATATTTCCGGGCTGGAGCTTTCTAAAAGATTAAAACAATCTGTTTCTCATGCCCAGAAACATATTTATTTCTCAAGCTATGCACCAGACGGTAGTACCAGACTATTTGTAATGTGTTTAGAGATATTTAATTTTCAACTAGATGTCTGCGGTAGTTTAGAATAAAGATTACTGTCAATATAATAAGATTACTGATAATATAAGATTACTATTAATATGTTAATATAAGTTAGATTTCTGCTAATGCGTTAACGGTAATCTAATGATAGGTTACATTTATTCTCACATCGCAGTTACAGGTTGAATTTAATCCATCTTTATTTAGCATACTCTATGATGATAACAAGTGTGTCAATTTGAAGAAAACCCAGAATTTCCTAAACTGTTAAAAAAAAATGCGGGATCCCTCTAGCAAACATTCAAAAAGAAAACAAGCATCTCCCTTTTCGAGTTCATAATTAGGGGAGAGTGGGGTCAATTGTAACATTTTTTACCTAACTATTTTTAACTAACAAAAACTCCAATATATTATTAGGTATAATTGACAGACGAGTAAAGTAGACTATCCTCTACTAGAAAAAAAATTAATACATTATTTTGAATGTTATTATATTAGTTATTAACAATTTTTGACAGTCGTGCACTTGTTACAATTGTCCCCACTTACGGGGTCAATTGTAACAGTTCATAAATTCAACTAAAACATAGTTAATTATACATATTATCATAGTTGTGATATATTTTTTTATTGATCAAAATAGTAGTGATATTTTAGGAGTAGAACTAATAATGAGCAGAGACCCAAAGGGTTTAACTTTTCACTTTAAGGGGTTAAAAATGTTAATTTATGCTGTGAAAAGTGACAAATAAAATAATGCACATGCAACATAATATAAATGAGATAGGAAACTATTGGTTGTTCTTAAAGAGTTAAGTAATGGTTCGTAAACATAAGATTATTTATTTTCAGCTGTTACAATCGTCCCTTTACTTATTGTTACAATCGTCCCCAAGACACCATTTCAGCTTCATTTGTTAAAAACAATGCTAGTTTATTAAGAAAACTATTTTTTTTTAAATGTTAAATAAGGTGTTCACTTACATAGTCGGTTAATAATTTTTATTTGCTTAAACAAAATTACTTTGTTACAATATAATATTCTAATACCAAAAAAAAAAAAAAATATTTACGTAGCTTGAAAATATCTTTTGTGGTGTAACTCTTTCAAAAGTATATAAAAATGGTTACCAGAAGGGGTGTACATGTAGATTTATTAAATACACCTTGTGCGCCACCTAGGAACTAAATCTAGAACCCGACACACGAAATTTTTGATCTGTTACAATCGTACCCTGTTACAATTAACTCCACTCTCCCTTACTCATTATGGCTCTATTTCGAAGGCTCTCTCATCACTTGAAATAGATCGTTTTTGTAAACAATATGCTACCTTTATAACTATTTTGAGTTTATAACAGTTATTTATGACTGCCAGGCAATTTTTATCCAGCTCTTCCAATGATAATTTTAAAAATGGCACAAAATTTCAACGTGAAGAAAAAATACAAATTAAAAATAATTCACGTTCGTGATCCAATTTTTTTAAAAATTGTAGTTAAAATAGTTTGAATTTTACTTTGCTTTACTTTTGAATAGCTTTACTTTGTCTTGAACTGTGAATTTTAATTTCCTTTTTCAAAACAACTTTTAAGAAACAACTTTGAAATTATAACACGATATAAAATTTTGTAGCTAACAAAAAAAATTTTCATTGCTATATTTTTAAAGTTCAATAACTGCAATTGTATATTTATACACATTTAAACCAGGTACTTAACATTTTACAACATTGTTAGTTAAGTTGTAAACAGAACTTGCTAAACTAAATTTCAGAAAACTTTATCATTTATGTATATTAAGAAAAAAATCGGTCACAAAACTTTCAACCCGGCTGTTTCCTTACATGCATCAATATTTAAAACACAAGTGGAGCTAAAAATTCATTTTTATTGGTAAAATCCATTTACCTTTTATACTCTAGCATCGACATTTTCAAGAAATTGTTTCGTCAATAGCTTTGACCTTTGTCGCTGATGTTATACAATATAATCGATAATGAATGAAATTTGAAAATCTTTGAGGATGAAAACTTCAAAGTTATTATCCAGATTACTTTCCTAGAAGAATCTTGAAAGATTTTACTAAAGCTTTTTGTCTAGAAAACAGCTTTCCTCGAAATTTTAATAAAGATTCTATTTTTTTTTTCTTTTGGATCACTTTTACCAAAATCGTATTACTCTCGTTCATATTTTTATAAATGATATTAAAATATTATAACCTAAAACGTTTTATTTCCTCTGCAAATAGTTTGCGTTAGAATTGTTTGCTATAAATCCTAAATATACAAATGTTTGCTGTCATTAAATTATCAATAGCATTTGCGAAATCATCATTTCAAAAATTAGTCATTCGGAAACGTTGTAAGAGTTGGAAATAGATTTAAGTGCTTTAATTCTTCGACATACGTGTTTAGAAAATACCATATTTAAACTGATATTTAAAATATATCTATAGCAAAATACAAGTTATTATCAGACATTTTATTTCAATTTTCTAAATAATTGGTATAAAAAAAAATAATGATTTTCTCTAAATTTATACAAACGCATCGATCTGCTTGTATTGAAAATATCTTCAATTTTGATTTTTCAGTCATTAAAATCACATTGTAAAGAATTCTGGTTTAAATTACTTTGGGTGCATTATCCGTAAAATCAATTTCACCGTTAAATCCTTTTTAGCGTAAAATTCCTTTTACCCTAAAATTCTTTTCACCCTAAAATTCTTTTTACCCTAAATTCCATTGATATCATGAAATATTAAACCTTAATTTTTGCAGTAAAATTTTTTAATTAGAATGATTCAATGATTTCATGGTAACTATTACTGTAAAAATTACGGCATATCAGATTTATTTGTTCCACATTTTGTTTTAGTGAATACGTATTTTGCGGTAAAAAATGCTAGCAATCTGACAGAAATATGATGTCAAAGGACCAGAATTTCAAAAGAAAAAAGGCTTAAAACGCAAATTTATTTATACCTTATTATTCATTTTTAATAAAATACAAAGTGTAAAATTTTTTTAATAACCTTGGTACTTAATACTTTTTCTAGATTGGGGAAATAATCACCATACAACTAAAACAAACTTAACTAAATCATTATCCTTCTCTTCCATCCCTTTTTGGCAAATCTTATCTGATACCCCTCTAAATCCTCATCACAAATCTTCGTCGTCTTAATCTAAATTGTATTAACATTCAGTACTAAACAGATGTTGCCATAGTTTGTAGGAAGTTGAATTGGAAGATTCGGTACTAATATAACTAGTTAAAATAAAGTAATGTCAATCAATGAAATGGAGACATTTTTGTTTACAAAAACTATCAAATTTTAAAGTAATTATCCCAAACAAAACCATGATCCTTTTTATTTCAAACTTATCATAAATTTTTTATAAAATAGTAAGAAATAAAATCTATAGATTTTCAAGTTTATGAAGAAGAAATTTGACAAATTCTAGTCACATCCAAATTTATCAAATATGAAGAGAAAGTCTGTAAAAAGAAAGGAAATGTTTTACAGCGTATATATTTAGTCTATTAGGTCAATATAGCAACAAAAACTATTAGGTCAATATGGTTTTTTCAATTTTTAATTTGGCCCCCATATTACGAATAACCTCTGATTTACAAATAAAATTTGGGCAACGAATAAATTACGAGTAAAATTTGTCCTTCATACGAAGGACAATATAACAACAACAAAAAACATTAACAGCATATCTCCGCTAATAAATTTCTTAGTTTCTTAATAACTATTTTAGATATAAAATCGAATATTGTAGTTTTTAAGTATTTTTAAATAATAATGAAAAAAATTAAAATTTTGATATGGTTTGTATTTCTAACATCAGTCACAAAAATTTCAACATCAGTCACAAGAGCTTCTTAGGGCACCTTCTATGTACCCTTTCATATGTATTTTCAATGTTTCCTGTTAATTTGAAGATTGTTTTTAAAAATAAATTTAAAAGCATAATTCCGTTATTGCTTAAAAGAAACAAAAATTTCAAAATGAAAAGATAATGCTTTATTCCTTGTCTTTTCTATGTAACGTAAATAGCATTTGTATTTTTATTAAAAAAAAAACATTTATAATGTTCAGTCCTTTTCATAATATGCATAACATTATTAGGTTATTAAAAAACATCCCAAGTGATTTTTCTTTGAAAAAAATATTAAATATTTATCAATGAAAAAAAATTACAAATAAGAAAATCTCTCTAAATGTAACGCAAACCTCTCTAAATGAAATGGACTCCAAGATAGTAAGATATTGGGGTGGAAGAGATCTTTTGAGGCCAGTGGTTTCTTTCTTTCTTGTATTTATTTGTATTCCCCGTCTTTCGAAATAAAAGCATCTTGTATGCACATAAGAACCAGAATTGAAGGCATATTGATAATTTTTCATAGAAATAAAAACAATTTATGTTCCCATTTAAATCTTTAATAATTATCACTTAATCGGCCAGGCTGATGCTAAAGCGGCAGAAGCCTGAGCCCCGACCACTCAGAATTGAAGTATCAAATCAAGAGTTTATAAGAATGAGATTAAATATGGTGATAATAATTATACAGATAAATGATAACAATAATTTAAGAAATAGTTGAATAATAACAATTTAAGAGATAAATGAGATTAAAAAAATGCAAGAAATAAGTAATGTTTTTAATAGCGAGACATGACTACTTTAACTGGATTGGCTACTTTGACATTCCTGTTTGAAGTTTTATCAAAATATTTATGCGGAATAAGGAAAACTATAGAGTACTGGTCTAAGAGTGTAATAGGCACACTATAAGCAAAATGAAGAAAAGAAAATTATCAGCGGGTTATCTTTCGGATAACTAAAGAATTCTAATTATTAATTAGAGCCGGATAATATCGGAAATTTAATACATATTGTGAGTGATAGATGAAATTTAATAGAATTATTAATATTTCACTGGGTGAGAAATATTAATATTTCTCGGCATATCAAGATATTTTTTAAAAAACTATATATATATNATATTTATATATATATATTTCACATTGGTCAATATTTTAATTACTCAAATGAAATGTCGCAATACTCACAGTAATAAGGTATTCAATAATTATTGTTATCAATAATAATTGTGATGTTATCATGCTAGATACGTATGCATTGAGAAAAAAAGTGTTACCGAAACTACCAGAATATGGTAAAATTTACCGTCTTTGTGGTTCCACGAAAACACTAAAAAGCTCGGTAATTATTACTAAAACACTTTAGCGATGTTTTTCGTAAAATGAAGAATAAAATAAAGTTTTATAACGTGTGGTAAAAAGTAGGTAAGTGTGGTATAATTTGGTACTTTTATCATGATACCTTAGAGCATGACCTAAAAACTATTTATTCGATTAAGTTTATTTCTCAGTTTTGTATTTGTTTCTAAATGTGTGGTAATGAGAGCTATTATTTTGAAATTTCCGGTAAGCGGTTACCATAAGAAAGATAAAAATTACCAAATGAATGATTTAAGTGCAGTTTGATTTGATTTTATTAATCATTGTTTTTTTACCAGAAATACAGTGCAGTAATTTTACCAGACTTTTTTTTCCATTTGACTGTCGACATGATCACGATCTTATGGTTGATATAACAGTCATATATCTAATAAATAGATATAAATGCATAAAGAAGAAAGTATTAGTAATAGATGGAATATCGATCAATGGGAATTTTAACAATTAGGTTAAAGATAAACGCATAATCATTGTACTGTGTATCGCTTGAATTAAATTATAAAATATGCTACGTGAATATTCATTTGCAGAAAAAAGCTAATAGATAGTTTAAAAAATAAACTTAAAAATTTCAAACGAATAAAGTGTTGAAAAAATTATGAGGAAAAAAACTCTTTCCAAACAACATAAATTGAACTATAAAATATCGCACTGCATTCAATCAGGCAAAAAAAAAATTATTGGTGCTCAACTACACTGGAAATATCCCTTTTGCAGAACATAATCAAAATAATAAATAGTAGAACGAAAAAGAAATGATTAAAGTACGAAAACGCGTTTATCTCAGACAAAAACATTTTTGAACTCAATATCAAACGCTATTGATTAATTTAGCTGAATGACATTTCGAACTCAACTGGATTTTACGAAAAATTCTTTCAAAACCAAATGAAATTTTTGGGTTTATACGTGGTGTTGTAAAAGAGTAAACAAATTACAGTATATTCTTAATTGTTATCTTTTTTTAAAAGAACCATGAAAGCTAACTTTAATTACAAATAATATATCATGCTGCTGTTAGCACTTAATTCACCTGTTACAGCAGACAAATGTTAAGCATCAGTACATAAGATAACGTTCGTTTTGCTCAAGAAGTTTATGTTTTTAATATGAAAAAGAAATATTTTCTATTATTTTAACTGTACTATTTGTAACTTCACTATTTATTTCACCTATAGTGCGTATTATTACTTTCAGTAACATAAGATTGCCCACGATGTGACGAAATGTAACTCGGGAAAATAATTCTGGTAAAATTACTATACTATATGGTGATAACGTTTCTGGTGAAAAAAGTAATAATTCTGCGTAATAAAACCAAAATCCATTGTACTTAAGCCACTCATTAGGAAATGAGTTAAAGGAATTTTTGATTTTCAAAATTACAATTTTTATTATTAAACATGTGGTACTGAAAAGTACATTTAAACTGAAGTGTGATCTGAAAAGTACATTTACACGATAAAATGGTTTTTATGCCATGTTCTATGGTATCATGATAAAATTACTAAAATTTACCACATTTACCAAATTTTATATCATGTTATAAAATCATTTTTCATTTTACCGAAATCATTACCAAGGCTTTTCGGTAAAAATTACCGAGCTCTTTAGCATTCCCATAGAGCCCATATAACATGCTTAATTTTATCATATTCTGGTAGTTTTGACCATACTTTTTTTCTCTTTGTAAAAAGTTTTCGTCTGGACACCAGCTAATAACTGAAATGAAGAAAAATAGACTATTATATTTTAGTATGTGATGAGCGAGGGAAAAAAAGTGAGTCAGGAAGCAATCAAAAAGGAATCGCAAGAACTGTTTCAGGGGTTGGAGAGCGATAGCGAGCTTTTGACCCCTAGTATGGATTACAGTTTTATGCTATAATGTAAATTATGCTTTTTATTGCAAATACATATTGATTTTTTATTCTTAAACGTTATATGGATTTCATGAGAAATATTATAAATTAGTTCTTGAGAACAATTAGAAATTAGCTCATTCATCCTTTGCAATTCAAAGCGTTCTCGAACTCAACTTACTTAATTTTGCCCTCAATAAATAAATACAATAGTTAAGTCAGAATAAATGTGATTTTGTATTTTTTTCCGAAGCAGTGCTTGCATTTCTCTGGAGAAAACAAGCGAGAAAAATGGTGGTACCATTCAAGAACATAAAAATTTCCAGTTGAACCGCGGGATGCATCAGTCAGGCCTGTCTGGGACACACTTTAGTCAGATGTCGCATCCAATTACCAAAAACACAACTGTTACCACACTTTTTAGAAGGAATGGAAAATAAAAGACTTTTTGGTTTGCGGAAATGGGCAGACGAAAATATTTAACTCTGTTTTTAAATGTTCTTATCAAATGAAAAACACACAATATTTAAACCATTTTACTGTTTATATTTACGTCACTTATAAACTATAATTGATTGCATCACTTATTAACTAATTTTCTTACTTTTTATATTGCAATCAAATAATTAGTTCTTAAATCCTTTTCATGATAATTTTTTAGTAGTTTAAGAAATGCAGCCTTTAGATTATGTAAAAAAATATATCAATAAATCTGGTTCTTAAATCATTTTCGTAAATTTCTCTTATATAATTTAAAAATGGGGATTCCTAATTTTTTTTTAAATCAGTCTATTATGTATTTTTCCTGAAGTGTACATGTTTTTTAAATTTTAAAAACGTACGTAACAAACTACTTTGTTGGTACTGTATGTCTATTAGTAACATGACTTTTTCAACATACATAACTTCTGTAAGTTATATCATGAGCTGAAATTAAAAATTTTAATTAAAACATTATTTGGTTAAATAAAAAACAAATTATGCTCCATACAAAATATAATTTCATTTTATTTTTTAGATATTGAAGAATTATGTTCTTAGACAAAACACATACTTGACACCATTTAATATTAAAAAGAATAAGACATGATTTGAAATAATTATTTAGAGCGAGCATGACTTAAATTACATGAACAGTTTTTTCCTAATGTTTTCTTTTAATCGTTTAATAAAAAAGTACATCCATACAGAAAGATTCGACAGAATTTTCATTAAAATGCCTCCATTTAAAATTTTTATCCTTTTGAATCTATCGATTTGTGACGGAAATGTTCATGTGGAAGGTGAGTTCTTCTTTAATAATTCACCTGTTTCAAAGTTGTAATTTATACATTAAATGCAATTTGTCTCCTCAAATGTTTTTAAATAAGGTTCTTTAAAGTCAGTCTAAATTTCATCATATATTTATATCATTTTTATTGTTGAAGTAACTATTTATAGATGCACTGTGCATAAAATATTAAACGTACGGGTGATCTCAAAGTGATCTCATGCTAATTAATAAGTGCAGGCGATATTTCAAGTTACAAAATCAGACACAAAAAGGTATTTTCTCTGAATAAACATACTTTTATTTTCGACGGATTGGGATTTCTGACCCTATAGGAGATAGCCGTAATCTAGGAAATATGGTCAAAATAATTTGGTGAGGACAGCGCTCCTAAGTTTTGAACCCTTTAATGTTAATTTTACTTTTGCGTATTTCGCATTATCTCGAGAACTTTTTAAGCTAATTGAAAAAATTTTGCATACAATTATAAAATTTGTTTATCCAAAGATAATGCCATGCAAAAAATAACTTTTTGTAAATATTTATTATTTTTAATAGTAGTAAAAAAATATTTGAATTGTAAAGTATGCAATTTTTGCGCCATTTTGAAGCACGTAATTTTACATGGCAAGATACGAAATTTGAGGAAAATCGGTTGATTAGTTCCTGAGAAATCGAATGTTAAACATCTGACTTCTTTGAAATTCAATTTCTCAGGAAGTTTTCAAACGATTTTGCTGAAATTTAGCCCTGAAAATTACGTATTTCAAATTGATGGAGAAAATTATATACCTTGCAATTCAAAATCTTTTCGACCATTATTTAATAAAATAATAAAAAAACAATAAATATTTACCAAAATTTATTTTTTGAATGGAATTATCTTTGAATGTGCGAATTAAATAATTGCGAGCAAAAAATTTTCAATGAGCTTATTTATAAGTTCTCAAGATATAACGAATTACGTAAAAAGTTAAATTAACACTAAGGGGCCCAAACTTTGGACCACTCTCCTGACCAAACTATTGGGACTATATTTCCGAGATTGCAGCTGCCCCTATATTTTGTGAATCAGAAATCCGAATCCATTGGAAAAAGGGTATTTTTAC